CAGGAGGGGACGGGTTTCAGGCACAGATTGGCCTACTAGCATGAAGGTGCTTTGTGAGTCCTTTTCTTACAAGTTGGTTCCCATGTGGTATTTGTTAGTCACAGCTAATTATGAAGTCCTTGGCCAAGGCACTAGACATTGTTCCTTGGGTTCCTCCCCCCTCTTTTTCCCCCTTACCCCCTGTTGCTGCAGAACAAAACCTATTGTGACTCTCTGGAGGTTGGCTATGCACATATTTTCCAGTGAAACTCTGATGGGCTCACTGCTGGAGTCTCATGTTTCAGATTCAAACTGAACTGGATAGAGCATTATTCACTGACATTGACAGAGCCCGCCCGCCTTTGGTCTGCGCAGACGTTTCTCCCACACTACACTCGGTCCCTCACAGGCAATTTAGACAATTCACTGAAAATAATTCCCAGCATTACTCAGAACCTGGGTAATCTGTACAGAATAGTATAATGTTAAGAGCATTACATCATAGGAAGCTCAAGTGCCAGGTGTCGCCAGCTGCCCTGGATGGCAAGGTTGCAGAGTCTCGTTCTGTTCCCTGGACAGACTGCCTCAGCATTCACCTGTGCTGTGTACTGGGCTTCCGCAGAAAACTTCCACATCCTAAAAGCAAGCTTGAAATGCACAACTCAGTCCCTTCATTTGTTCATTCCTTGGATGAAGAGACTGGCCACTGCAGGTCCTTCCCTTACCTAAGGTCTATATTAGCAAGTGTATTTGAGGACAGAATGAGAGTTAGAACCCAGGTCTCCCAACATCCAGGGGCCCCATTTCTTTCCCTGTGCTGGGCTGGTTCTGGAAAACATCACTAGGCTGCTTTTCTCCCTGGCTTATTGCCACTACCTTCTGTGAAGACCTTCCTTATGTGCAGGAGACAGGAACTGTAGATGAATGGGAAAATAGCAGCCACATCACACTGTTTTCCCTAAGCCACCTGGCAACCCGTGCCATCTTCTGGAATCATCCAGCATTCAGACTGATGTAACTGCCATTAATTTTCCATTATATTCATGAGACCCCCACATTAAGATCACGTGAGAGTTTTTCTCACTATTATTTAACAGAAGACCGTCGACTGGAGTTGGCCCATTTGGGGTTACATGGTAGCTACAAATACTAGTGCTGGAGATGATGATAAATTGCTATCACTAATGGCATGCTTCTACCTAAATGTAGACTGAGACTGCGTGGTTAAGGAGTGCTGGGAGGAATTAAAGCCAATAGTCTAGATAAAGGCTCTGTGTAAAATATATCAGGCCCTGATAAATGTTCCTGTCACTGTAATGTAACCGCTCACTGTCATATACACAGGGCCTTGAGTTCAAATAAAAGCCAGATACATTAAAACTTTGTCCTTAACTTAGACCCTTCTGCATTCTGTCACAAGCTTAACATTAACCAAACAGAGTTTGGGTTATCTATAGACCATGAGTTCAGCCTAGTCTTTCTCTGGAAGCTTATAAAACTGAGCACTTCCTGAGAAGGGGAGGATATGACTATGGACTTTTAAGAGAAGAAGCTACACGAGGAACATTGCAAAGACTGAAAAAATGAACTCCTCTTCCTTTGACTATGAAAGTCCCTAGGGTGTCCTGGGGCTCAAAGCTGCCTGTCTCCAGCAAAATGAAGCCCCTTGCTGCCCCCACAACTTGGGTGTGCTTGGGACTCTTTCAAACTCTTCTTTATTTTCCAGCCAAACAAGAACCAAAAGTCCAGAAGCTTGTTTTCAAAATTTAGGAAAGCAGATGTTTTTGCTTATTTTTTCTTTAGTCTCTCTTCTGCCAAAATGCAGACTTTTCGCTGGGTTCTGTAGTTGTTTTTCTGTTTTGTTTTGTTTTTACTTTTAAGACAAATCTTGGACAAGGGTCACTGTAAAAGGAAGAAGGGTAGACATTTCCAAGCCAGGGAGCTCTCTTTTTTAAGACCTGAATGAAAATATGCAAGAACCCAATGATAGGCATGCTAGAGCCCATGGCAAGACTGATAGATTCCTTTCTAGAAGAGTCTCAGGCTTTCTTCCCAGACCTGATGCCTGGGGCTGCCTAGTTAATCAGGAATATGACAGTGAACATTGCTTTCTCACAGAATTCTGGTGGAGAACATGCTGTACGCCAAGTAAGGCCCAGTACTACTCATGGGCCCTATAGCTCCCAGCCTGCTAAAACATGGTAGACACTGATTAACTTCTATGGCTTCTGTAACCAATCAACAGGAAGTAGTATCAACACACAACATGAATATGTCATCATATTTGTCAGTGTTAGTCAGAAGTCTGACTCTAGTCCTGCTGAACTAAAATACAGGAGTGATAGGGTTGCATCGTTTCTTTTGACAGTCTCAGGGAGTTGTTTTGTTTTGTTTTTTTTTTACAGAAAGTATCTTATAGGATAGCTCTGGCTATCCCAGAACTGGCTATATAGATCAGAGTGGCCACTAAATCAGAAATCTGCCTGCCAAGTTCTGGGATTACAGGGATATGCCGCGATGGTCCATCAACAATTCACTTTTTGAGTTTACATTATCTCAGTTTTCAAGGCCACCATCATCCCTAGCCTCCTAGACGTCATCCTCCATCTTCAAAGGTGGAAACATCAGGTTGAGCAGTCTCTCATTGTTCCACTCAGGTCACCCATACTACCCTTCAGAGGCCACTCTCAGAGGCCTTGCTTAGTCACAGTGAACCCACCTGTATGATCCAGCACTATGTCCCTATTTTAAGGTTAATGACATTTGCCACTGGAGATATATTCACAGGTTCTAGGTAAGAACAATATGGACCTTTTAGCAGGGAGCACTATTGCCCAGAACAGATAACACAGCTCATTTTTTAATACAAGTACAATGGTTGTATTTAGTAGAGCTTTCAGTTATAAGAAGTGGAACCTAACAGAAGCTAATAAAAAGAAAGGATCTTGCTGGTTCATATACTTGGAAGGAGGACTTCAGATCGAGTAAGACACAGCTCAATCCGTTTGTCTAAAGCCATTACTGAAGCCCTCTTTTTCCTATGTTGGGTTTCCTTGGTGGTTGGTTCATTCTCAAGCAGAGAAGGATAGCTGAAGCATCTTCCAGTCAATTCTTGAGACTAGGGGGAAACCTGACCTCATTATCAGTGCTAACAAACTCTCAGGGATGACACTCAGCTGCCCAGCTTGTACACTTGTAAGTGAGTCACAGGTAGATTATGTACAGACAAATATGACATTGTCACCAGAGGAAGGAGAGAGCTGGCTGTGCCAAGACAGCAGGTGTCTACTCCTTACAGCTTGATTTCAGAACCATAAAATGAAGATAGCATTTGTCTTCAAGCCACAGACAAACTTGAAAGAGTCCAGAAGTGGTTCATCTACGGCAAGTAAGTTATTGAGCTAGTACACAGGAAGAGGGGTTGGCATGGTAGTGAAATCTGGTTGGAACCAGATTGCCTTATTTTATGTCCAAGTTATGTTTACTTAGTTTCATTATTTGTAAAATGGATGGTAATGCTATCCATCTCGGGAGCACTAAACATTGTGAGGTTGAAGTATGCAATGAAATGCTTAGACTAGAACCTTGATGATGTAAATACCTAACGAACAACAGCTGTCTTCACGATTGTTACTATTTTATTATCACGTTGTTGGGCACAGATGGCGTGGGGACTTGGAAAGAGGGTACGAATTATATCGGGTACTTTACTGGGTTCTGCTTTCTAGCTGGAGCCAGTCTCTTCTTTCATGAACTTTTTATCTTCACCATGGAGAAAAGGTTGCTACTGTTACCTCAAATGTGGGTTTTGATATGATTACAATAACCATCTTTCTGCCCATGACATTGGCTGTGCATGTCCACCACCAAATATTCTGTCAGTGTTTCTGAGTTTGGGTTCTTGATGGAATCTTGTTAGTTTGCCCAGTGATTGTCTTCAAATAAGAGTGCACAGTGCATTTGATCAACTGTGACTGGCAGTGGGGGCAGGTTAACCTGAAAGGGATAGTGGAGTGCTAACAGGAAATTGACTCATCTTGTTTTTTTGCAAGTGTGCAGAGCAAAATACAATTTCCCTAAGGAACAAAGCAGCCATTTTCAGAAAATACTGGTCAACTTGAATGTTTTGGATGAGGACAATTGGAAATCCCTTGTAGAAGCAGGATTTCTAAAGATAAACTCTCTCTCTCTCTCTCTCTCTCTCTCTCTCTCTCTCTCTCTCTCTCTCACACACACACACACACACACACACACACACACACCACACAGGACATTTGTAAATGAGGAACTTCCAGGGCCAGTTAGACAGACAGACACCTCCCACTGTTTTGCTCATATAGTCTCCATTTCAGAAACTCACCCCTGAAGCAGAAGCAGCTCTGGGAAGATGCTCAAAGATGCTGTTGGAAGCAAACTCCAGAAAGATCAGGGATATCCCCAGAATCCTCCCTTTGGTGGCGGGAAGAGTTTTCTGTGACCCCCTTTCACTTTTCAGAGCCCCAAGGCTGTTCTCAGCAGCCTCTATCCAGAGTGTTCAGGAAACTTCAGTAGACAGTGGAAAGCCAAGTGTCCTTTTGTCTGAGACTTTAGCAAGGACCTCTGCACCAAACTTCTGTGGTAATGGGGGGGAGGATCAGGAAGTACTGCCGGTGTTTCTTATCTCTGCAGCACTAAGGGAGATTGGGAATACTTTGGATCAGGGCTGGATATCTTGGGATATCCACTGAGCACTGAGATTTCGGAGGAGACAAAGCTTTGTCACAGTTTTGATAGAAGCCTGCTGGGAAAGTCTCCACTGTATTGGCTCCCATGCCCCTTTCTAGTTGAACAATTCATAGGCCCCATGCCTGCTTTCAAATGGATTGGTTTTGAAGCAGTCAACAGAAAAGGAGCCCGCTGCCAGGGCCAACCATCAAAAGAGAAAAGAGAGCATCGCAAACTGTGGGTGAATACTCGTGAGAAATATGACAGTCCAGAGGCTCATTCTGCTGGCCTGACCCGAGTGTGTTATCTTCCCAAAGGACCCCGTGGTTTAATGGATGGGGCTTTAACCTACCCAGAGGCCAGTCTCTGCTGGACAAATGGAACCTCATCCCTGAAGGCATCGACATACTCATGACACACGGACCTCCTCTAGGTAAGTAGCCCAAAGTTGGGGCTTTTGTCATACAAAATGTTCCCCTCCTGCAGCATCATAAACAATGCTTTGGAAACATAGTAATTTTTCTTCAGAAAAAAAAATGAATACAAAAAAAAGAAAGTCAATGTCTTTAAAGAAACTCAATGTGGAAATTAAACTCAGCAATTCTGCTAGGCTTAAAGGCTTTCAGGTGTTCATGAAAATATTTTTTTTTCATTTATTCAAGTCGGGGGGAAAAGTTAAATGAGCATGGAAAACCATAGTCTTTTAAGCTTGGTAATTTATTTTAAGAACTGTATTCGCTTCACACTAAAGGGATAGGGTGGGACATGGAAGAAGACAGAGACCTACCAATCATAGGCGTTTGAATGGCAGGGAAATGAAAGAAACTTTTGTTCAAAGGGGCTCATTTTCCTTTCACACATAGCACTGGGCCTGGGGTATCTTTAAAGGTTAACATTTGAGATGATTATATGAGAAAAAAAGTTTTTTAAAGATGAGATATTTTCAGTAAGGACTTGTCCTGAAAATGACTTACAGATAGGTATTTTTTAGACATGCTATAACAGCATTCTGATTTATATAGTCTCTGGGTGTCAAAGCCACCACCCTAGTGACCCAGATTGTTGGTCAGAAGATGGTTATTTGATTTAAATAATTCGATCCTAATCATCGGTGAGCCCATTACTGGTTTGGCTTGCTACAGGACATCTTGAGCCAGGATTCACCAGCCCGATCTCACCATGTACTTTGTAACAGACACTTCCTGCTAAGCATGCTCGGAAGGAAAATGCAAATATTTCAATTTAAAGGCACACACTGATATTTCTTTGTTTCTTTCTTGTGAGGGAACACATTTTTTTTTATATTATTTCAATGCATGGTATTAATAGAGTTTTCTTGGTCATACTGGGTTGAAGGTAACTTTCATGATTTCTGTTGCTGTTTACCTTGTTAAGTATGAACCTCCACTCTACCAGCCTCCAGAAGAAAACATTCTATTGCTCATTCGCAATGCATATTTAATCTTTGGAGATACCCCTGTTAAGAACCGATTGGCTCTGCTTTCCTTCCCTTACAAAGGGAGGGCTCCTGAACAAATGGAAAGAAGAATGTAGGCTGAGGCCGTGGAGCCACGTGTTAGTGATGGTGAAGTGGGAAGGAAGGCCAGTTCTGTTGTAGTCAGTGTGGTACACATGGGACCTCCATGCCCACACGTCTCTGAAGCACTTCACCTCATCCTGCATTCCCTAAGACTGTATTTGCCAAAGAGCGTAGTCAATCATTATCAGTTTACTTCCTCATTTAGACTAATGTAGTCAGTACATTGCCAGCCAAATAGTTTGGCTAGCATAACTTACTCAGCAAGAGTACACTGCAGGTACATTCCAGCCAGCTTGATTCCTCCACCTGTGAAGCCTGACTGGGTGTAGATCATGGTGGGAGTCCTGGATAGCTGCAGTCTGACTGGGTGCAGATCATGGTGGGGGTTCTGGATAGCTGCAGCCTGACTGGGTGCGGTTCATGGTAGGGGTCCTATATAGCTGCAGCCTGACTGGGTGCGGTTCATGGTAGGGGTCCTATATAGCTGCAGCCTGACTGGGTGTGGTTCATGGTAGGGGTCCTGGATAGCTGCAGCCTGACTGGGTGCTGTTCATGGTGGGGGTC